TCCTGGGATATTACCATGGCACTTACACACATAGCAAAATTAATGCTTAGATCATACCATGCAGCCCTACAGTCAAACGCATTTACACTAAGTTGGTGCAGTTTTTTTGAGTGAATGTGAATTGAATTCCAAGTTGCTTACATTGTCAACTTAAAATGCAAAAAACTTGAATCTATATCCTTTTCCACTGTTGTAATTTTTTCTGATTCCTTGTCAAGAGCCAGATTACTGGCTGGAAAGAAGGATTGGCTGAGGGAAAAAGAAACCTGACATCAGAGGACTTTGAAATCCTGGTGAGTTGTTTTTACTTTCTTTCGTCTCACTTTTTTTGTAAAATCTTCAGTTTTGCTGATTCTTTGATTTGTAAGATGTTGCAGAGTTTGTTATGGCACACATTTTACTCTCGACCTTCTTTTTAGGTCATTAACATGGACTACGGCATGAAAGACAAGAACCCTGTTGAACATATGCATTTCTACAGCAAAAAGGAGCCTGACGTGGCAAAGCCAATGTCCCCAGAAAATTTCAGAACTAATTATTGATTAAAAAATTTTTTTTTCACAATCATTCAATATTTCTTCTGTTTGTTATTTGTAAGGCAGCTTATGTCACCATAACTCTCAAATTAAAGCTGCTGTCAATCTTTACAGGCATCCAGGATTCGCACAACGATCTTTTCTGAGCAGCTGATCATGGTCTTCTGTAAAGATGATGTTGATGAACAGAGTGTGGAGGCTGCCAGACAGCACTTTGAACAGTGGTACAATGATTTTCTAATCCTTTGATAATAGTTGAATATTAAGATGTTAAAGGATACAATATCACTAACTTGCTGTTGATTGAACATAAAACCAGTTGATTTGGCTAAAGTAAACAGAAAACACGTCACATTGAGTACAGTTTATTTAATATGGTTGAACATGTGATCTACAATCTGCTGAGTGTGGAAAACATTAGCTGTGCTAGCATCCTCAGCCTTCGGTCTTCCTTTCAGGTTAACGTATGCTTACCTGTGCTGGTGAAGCTCTACTCTAATAGATTTGATACTTTAACTTAACAAAATACTGCCAAAGTGAGCAACACTCCAACATGTTATTGGTCCTTTGTCCTGGTTTGCATCCAGGTTAGACAGCAAGTCTAGACAGTCAGTCAGGTTTCTGTACTGAAACAATTTTACTGACCTGTATTGGAACCGTGCAGGACTCTGGTTTGGGGCCCTCAGGTTAAGAGAGGTAAGCAACAGCAGCATGGGAGTGAAACCAAAAGATTAACCAACCCTCTGGTTTCTTCAACTTTCACTCAGGAGCAAAAATCAGCTTTTAAATTTGAAAATTTGAAAGTAAAAATGATTGACAATTATTGTGATAATTATATCGACTGATATGACATTTTGATAACATTTTTAGTTTTTTTAGCCCAGGCCTATAAGCTACAGGTCTTATTGTGAATAACGTGTATCCTTCATGAAAAGAAAAACGGACATGTTAAAAAAAAATCCCTCTTCATACAGTGTGTGCTGATTGAGACATGAGATAATCAGACCAATTTAGTTTTTTTAATCGGGCTGTAAACATGTTTATTTCTGCTGTAAAAATTGGCTTTTCTGAATGGGTGTGTATGTGACATATTAATATATGCAGTTAGTGGTTTTATTACATTGAAAGGCTGTTTTAATATATGAGCATTAGAATGGAACAATGAGCAGGGAGGGAATGATTGCATAGTGAAACAAAACTTCAGGATTCTTTTTTTTCATATATATGATTTTGATCTTTTTTTGATGCCAAATTAGCATTGGTGTCTTCAAACTTTTGTATTTTCCTACCAACGGACAAAAACTTTGAAATAATGTATTTTTTTTCTTGAGATTTACAAAAACTGAAAGTTCTCACCAGTGAGATGATGGATCTGCATGATGAGTGCATTGTTTTGCTTTAAAATAAGTTGAATGTTAGATCGTTTGTTAAATAGAATCATTTCTGCCTCAGTTTATCTCTCACTAGGTTTACTCTGCACTGCTTTCTTTAAAACAGATGTACTTTTGTGTCCTTATTAACATGCAGGCTAGAGAAGAAGCCAAATCTGGTTGGACCTGAGGGTAATTAGAGCGATCCTCCTGAAGTTGACACCAAGGAACTTACCAAACAACATGAATAACACTGAATAATATTCGCATTCAGACCTAGCACTTGTGTTTTTTCTCGCTTTTATCATATACATGCTGTATCATTCTTTTAAATTGATTGTTTAAAAATCAGTTCCAACAACACACAACATGTTTTTATTCCGAGGACAAAGATAAATCATAATATATGATACCACTCTGTACAATTACGGGGCCTGCAGTCAATATGAAACAGTATCATTGGCCCATTTAATTCACTGTGTTACGCTTCTATCGACTCACACAGAAAACCCATTCAAAATTTGAATTTTTTTTTACATTAAGGAAAATATATATCAGTTATAAAGCCATATCTCAAAGATCACTGGATCTGGATCGCTTCTGGATTTGAATTTCTGATCTCTAAACTGATATATAGACACACATGACACTGGATACTTACACAGCTAGCAGCTGTATGGCTGTTGAATACCATTTAGGTAAAGAAAGCCATTATTGAAATCCAACAATCATTGTCTCAAACTGAATATATAAACTGCATGTTTCTGAATTGATTCAGCTTTTGGTCACATTTATGCTTCTTTGTAGGTTGTGAATTCTTTTTGGTCGGGGAAAGATGTAAAGCACTCCCAACATGTGTAATGGAGTGAATATTTCACTTGTGGTTTTATTTAGCGATTTAGAATACTTTACATTACTATAACATTTTAGTTTTGATGTTAATCGTTTGAAGATTGAGGACATGAGATTAGATTATTTGTCTTTGAGTGGTGTTTAATGAGAGATGATCATGAGTGATGTTTTGGTGACTGGTATTATCTTATATTATATTGTATATATTGTATCTGCAGCATTTATTATCACAATACAATTTTAATCTGTTTTAAAATGAGTCTTATTTTGGGAATGTTTTATAATGTGCTCTTCTTTTGAGTTTATGATTCTTACTTTAAAAACTGGAACTTGTGAAAACCTTTATTTGCATCTAAAAACTTGAAATTCGAATTAAACAATACATTTTTAAACGTATCCATCAACTACCTTTCTTCGATGGATGATGAATGTGTTTAAATGTCTGACACACTTTAAGTGAAGCTATAATTGTTTGACGATTGGTTCTTACATAATGCATCTATGAGAACCTTTCAAGTGTATTCCTGTTGTGATGGGTTCATATCTGATAAAATCTGCATGTATTCAAAATAAACATCAGAGAAAATCCTGAGTTCAACATTGTGTAATCTATCAAACCATATGCATCTATATATATATATATATGTATATATATACTGTATATATCACCTGTGGTACAAATCTAATTGCAGTTCAAAGTCCTTTACAAAGGAGCGGAAAAATGACTGACAAAAGGTAGTTTGTAAAATATAACAGCAATAAGAAATGAAATCAGCACGATGATTAATAAATATAAATACTAAAAACCTAAAATCAAACACTAAAATGTAAATTTAAAAGTAGAGATGAATAATATTGATTAAAATATAGTAAATCAAAAGCCTTAAAATGATTAAGTCATATAGAAAAGCCAGACTGAATAAATGAGTTTTTTAAATTGTTTTTAAAAATCTCAATATTCTCTGATCCTCTGAAGTCTGTTCCAAAGTCTCAGAGCAGCAAAACGCAGAATCACAAAAGGTTTTTGTTCTGCTCTGTGGAACAACTAAAAGAAGAACCAGAGAAGAACAAGAAGACCTGAGGGGTCGTCCTGGTTCATAAACTAAAATCAACTCTGAAAAGTTAATCTGGTGGGAGGCCAAGTGCTTTAGACAATAATAAAATCAATATGAAGACAAAAGGGGCAGCCAGTGTCAAGACTTTCAAAGATAGTGTAAGATGGAGATGAGATTTATTTTTGTGAAGTATTATTTTATAGATCTTTATTTTGCTTAGGTTGAGATAATATACATTATTTGATTTAATGCTAATTTCATTTATATTTACACTTTGTACTGTACAAGAGTATCTGTTTGATATGATGCACTATGCCTTTAAGGTTACCCATGGTTACGGTTTGAGGAGTGATATTGCTTTAGGACAAGTAAGGTGTCACTGTTGTTGTTGTTCAGTCTGGATATGTCATGCTCTGTTACGGACGGACATTAAACGTATGAGACGCACAGCAGAAGTTGTTCCCGTGCTTTTACTTACCCACACCCGAATATACAGTAGAAATATATATATAAAAACGTCTTGCAGCCTTTTCTTCTTCATGAGTGGAGAATTAAAACAAAGTGTTCATAGTAATTTGCCTATGTGCCTATGTTTGATTAAAGAGTGGAAGGTACCACACATCAATTTGCAATTTGGGACCTTCTCTATTTTGAAGATCATTTTTGATGAACTTAACTTTCGCCCTATTTTATAAGCTCTCCATAAACATTTAGAAGCTGTTTTTAACTTTCTAAAATAAAGTGCCAAGACGTTATTAAGATTTCAGTGTATTAGTATTAGTCAACAAATATAAATTCTTCTGTAAAGATGTTAACACTCATTCATTACTTCATCATAACTGCCAACTACTTGATATTGTTTTTAATCTGTCCTTTAGAAGTTTTTTGACTGCCCTCACATGCTTCACAGGTTGAGTTAACGTCGACATTGCCTATTTCATCACATCATGTTAAGTTTATTTGTAGGACACAGTAATCAACTGTACATCATTTGCAATAACAGAAACTGTGTGTGGAGTATGGATCACATGCTTGTTTACATATTATTTCACCACACATTAAGTGTTGTATGCAGAAGGTGTAATTCTAAATCCCAAATGTTCATGCTGTGAGAGACTGATAATACTGTTAATGTGTTGTTATTTTTGTGTGGGTGTGTAGGGCGAGGTAGGTAAATAAATTATCAAAGCTGAATACTCTGCCTGTTTTTCTTTCTGCTGGTAGAACAGGGCAGCAGGAGATGAGCCATAGAAAAAAATCACAGCTTTTAAAAGAGATATGTCATATGATGAAACAATGACAAATCATGATTGTTCATATAATTTTAACACAAATGTTCACATTTATACAAGTGTTGTACAGGATGCAGGAGATATCATTCTAAATCCCTAATGTTCATATTGTGAGAAACTGATAATTTGTGTGTGTGTGTGTGTGTGTGTGTGTGTGTGTGTGTGTGTGTGTGTGTGTGTGTGTGTGTGTGTGTGTGTGTGTGTGTGTGTGTGTGTGTGTGGGTAGGTAAATAAATTATGCAAAGAGCAGAATACTTTGCATGTTTGTTCTGCTGGTACAAAAAGAAGCAGCAGGAGATGAGCGAGAAACTGTTGGAATCACTAGATTCCAATAGTTTATTGGAATTAATCACATTATTACTTGAGTGATAATGTGTTATAAAACGCGTTGAGAGGTGTCTTGCTCAAAGGCACCTCGACAGTGCTCAGGAAGTGAATTGGCGCCTCTCCAGCTACCAGACCAATCTCCAGACTTGAACCGACGACCCTCCGGTTCCCAACACAAGTCCCTGCAGACTGAGCTACTGCCACCCCATAGAGCTTTTACTCCAAGAAATAAACAACTTAAAACACAACCTGATCCAGGTATTTATATATTTCAGAATCTTGAAAGTATACTAAGTACTGATGTTGTAGTGAGGACCACACTAACCGAGACCAAGACATATGTGAGACCAGAGTGATATGAGACTGAGACAAGACCGAGGCATTTAGGGATCGAGACCAAGTCAAGACCAAGACCATAAATATCACTTTTAAAATCATCATGTGTGCAGCGGGCGTGTCACTCACCACTCATCAGTAACACCAGGAAGGTTGCGGTGGTAACCAAGAGATAAAAATCAAACTACAAATGAATTGAAGTCATTTGTTCTTTTAGAAAGGAGCATTGGAGGTGGTCTTGACTGGTCTTAATCTAAAATCAGGAGTCCGCCCAGTCTGAGACAGAGACAAGACAGAGTAAAAATACTTTCAAGACGAGACCTTCAAACAGTGGTCTCGAGACCGGTCTTGATTTCGATTACTACAACACTAGTGTGTACATTTGAAAAAAAGAAAGAAAAATATCCTAAAATAACCAGTAAATACTCTGTTCATTGCATTGGAAAATAAACTTAATTTTGAAGTAAGCATATTAAATTAAGGATTAACAATTGTACTGGAGGTTAAAATATGAATGTTGGTATCATAGAGGCTGATAAAAGCTATGTATTCCTTCCTTTGGTTGAATTATAAGTCCACCGAAGAGTATCCTACAATTTGGCCCTCTGACAGTGAGAATTAAATATATGTGGCCCTTGCTGTGACCAAAGTTGCCCTTTCCTGGTCTAGATCAACACCAATGGGTTACACCATCCAATCTGCATCCCGATATCTGACTTCTTTGCCACACCTGTTTAAGCCACAACCACAACTTTATAAAAGCCTGCGCTCAGGTCTGTTACTTCATCTTCCATCCAAACCAAGCCTGACCTGCTATAGAGAACAACAAAAACCTCCATGTGAGTGTAAAATGGATCTTTCACCTTACTTCATTCTTATTTTGTTGATATATTATGAATTATTTCCAATACAACACATGTATTAATGATAGTTTAAAAAAAAAAAATGAAGAACTTACTTGAAATTATTCTGATTGGTTTGACATTATTTATCAAGATCTGTAATATTCCTATTTGGCATCAGCTAAAATCATTCACAACATCTACAAAGAGGATCAACTTTTGAAACAGCATCAGATCCTGTTTACAAACATGTGTTTTTTTGTGGTTTTGTACTGATTTGTGAATTTGTGAATATGGCAAAATCAGTAGCATAAAAAAGTACCAGATATTACAGTTTTAGTACATCATTGACTTTAAAAAAAATCAATAGTTATACTAACATGAGATTACAATTTGTCATTTAAGTTTGATCTGTGTTGCTGCACGGAGAATCAGTTTGACTTTGACATCCTTCTTTCAGTTTAAAACAAAACTTAAACCTCAGCAGAAATTAGAT